ATGGACTAATATGGAGTCAGCAGCCCTGTCTGAGATAGAGAAATCTCGCCTTACGCTTAATCGACGTCTTTCGCCGTCGCCTTTTTGTGCTCCTATCTTCGTAAATTTTAATTTTACGGACTCTTAGTTCGCATTTGGTACCGTCAACGTCGAAGTAATCAAGATAAACGTGTGTTTTCGTCGCGAATGTGCTGCGTAACTGTAGACGTGGAGTAAAATAGGCGGTCGTTGTTCTGGGCTAAGAACAATCGATCACTGCCAAGGCGTCAATTGACACCGCGCTGCAGCTACGGGCTGGAACGTCGCTGGATATTCCTTGGGAGTATATTCCGTGTCGAACGAGCCCGTTGACATTATGACAGCTTCATCGCGATCCATCCATAGATGCTGTCGACGCGACATCTTATTTATACTCTACAGAAGTATGTTTGTGTAATCATTCTGCACTCTATACTTTGTTCGACCAAAGATTTTCCTGTTTACGATTTCAATACATAATAATTACATAAGCGAATTACATTTTAAATATAACATTTAATAATGAATTGTTTTATGTGAGATCTTTTAATTTACTGTAATACTTTCATAATTTTATTGTTTGTAATAAATAAATTAAAATCATAACAATAAGTAGGACATTACTGAATGATGAATCATTTGATTCCTTTGTTAAATTGTATCGGTTTACGTTACAGCAATCCGCCCTACTCACGGGGTCGGATCCGATTGTGATAATACAACTCAGCGGTACACTGAAACGAACAGACAGCCGCGATGTGTTGCGATAAATAAGCCGAGTTAGGGAATCGGTACGCGTTTAGTGGCGGAGCACGGCAGTAAGTGATAGTTTGGACGACCGCACAGACGATAAGTCACTCTGAAGATGTGTGCCGAGAAAACGGTCTTACGGTCGCTGTGCGGGCCATAACAGTAAATCTGGAGGAGGCTCAGATTTACGCTGGTCCGGAGTGCACTCGCCGTCCGCTCTCACACTTAATTACAGGCGCCGAGATTACCCCGCGCGCTGGTGTCGGCATATTGCCACTAACTTTTCACTATCATCCACTATCCGGATTACTCTCGTTTTCGGCCAACGAAGACACTGGCTTTCTCAGTTATATTTCCTCGAGCTTTATTCCGCCACGATGTAATACGTCGTTTCATTATTATCGCCTCCAAGACGGACCCGAGAGATGACTCGGAGTTCCATTCAGAGTAATTCTATTGTGGACTTTTATGTTTGACTTTTCCTTCCTCAGTCATCATATCTATAGCTAATGGAAGCTTTGCAATTTCAGTGAATGTCGAAACTTTGCTTAAGTAGAGTTAATTAAATATTATCATTAACAGTACGCGGACCGTTTATCGGTCCAATAATTTGTCCGGCCCTCCTTTTCAAATGAGGCTATTGATACGACGTATTAACGATTTTAATGAATCTTTTATCACCCTCATCGTTTCTTATTTCGCTGACAGCAGTCTTATTGGACTTCGTTAATTTATCCCGCTTTGTCCTCCGGTGTCCTGGTGGCGTTATAAATGCGGACAATTATTCTTTATTTCCCATTTCAGTATGAATAATGTCACCATTAAGCAGTATTAATGCCGTTGGCAAATGCATTTTAATACGTTTCAGACATTAGAATATTAATTCCAACATTTATTATCAATAGGCGATAAAATTTTAATTGGCATAACATGCCATTTCTCTTATTGGAATTATAATAAATAATTTAGAAATAGAAAAAAAGACTAGATAATTGCACACGATTAATCAATATTAAAAAGGCGTTTGTGTCTCAACCGGTAGGTAATCTCCTTTGTCACGATGACCAAAGGTTATCAATCTTCTTGGAAATGCTTAAACATAGAGATGGTTCGATGACTACTTTTTTATCAATTTGTTATTTCATCTGCAAAGATTACCAAGAAATTGTGAAATAACTGGTCGTTAATAAACACAGTTTATTTAAACCTTCCTGCAACTATTAAAAGTTCGTAAGTTCAACTCGGGCGTGCGTGTATCGGGTTTTACTTGTATTTTATTGGGCATAAATAATAAACTTTATAAAGCTTTCATTTTTGTTTTTCGTTCTTTATTCATTGTTGAACTGTGACTTGTAGATCTATTTAGGTATGTATCCTGTTTGTACCTCGACGTGAGAGGTTGATTAGACTCTTTTAATACTTCATTTTTATACTTTACAGTATATCAAATGTGGTTCACTTTTGCTTGATAGAGTTACACTCTCGCGATTATAATCTAGGATCTTAGACTTCTTTCATATTCCACTTAAATTGTTATGCTTCTTAATCGCAATACATATCTTATTATCGAGTTTCTAACGGGCTGCTAGTTATACCAGATTGTTTCCTTATAGCCCCGACAATTTTAGACAAGTGCAGGAAGCGAGACCACAGGCAGTTATAACCGAGCTTATTATAATGTTTATTTAATATAACATCGCAACTTTGCACAAACTGCTGTAATTGAGGTAGATAAAAACGTAATTTATACTTATACTCTATTAAGGTATACCTAATAATAGTCCTATAATATTATTAGAATATAACTAATAGGAAATATGTCATATTACCATGTGTAATAACAGCAAATTGATATCAGATGCCGACGTTTACACCAAGCAGTTCAGCCAAGATAGTTTTAATGTTAATTGAACGACCTATGTTAGTTGATGAGCACGAGCCGTAATTGTTGGCTCTAGTGTTTGTAAACTTAATTGGAATTTGTGTTGATAACAATGTGTGTTGCTCGGTTAGTCGGCACGCGTCTATCGGCTCGCGTTAGCTGTAGTAATAGAAGTCTGTGTTCGCGTTTATCAATCAGACAGTGCCCAATCGCCGGGGCGTGAGCACGTCTCCCGCTTCCGCGAATTTCAAATCAAATTAATAAATATTTTAATTAGTGTTTAATAAGTTTTGCCAATGAAGATGCGTAAACTGGCCCGTTTGTTGATGGCGAGCGTGACGTTCGCTCTCACGTTTTTGTTCGTGCTAAACCTATCCAACGTGGGGGGTGGGAGGGAGCACCCGGCCGGCGCCGGCGCCCGCGCAGCCAGATCCTCGCGCGCGGCGGAGCAGACGATGCTGATACCCCTGGATCAGATCACAGACGTTACGCAGAAACGACTCTATGTTGCTCAGGTGGGATACGAGTTAAAATCGTAAAAATTCATTGGTATAGGTAACCGATCGGCAAGAGTCGCCCATATGACTCATTAATAAGATAATTGCAAATATCTTTTGATTTCGAGTGTAATATTATATCAAATTAGCATAAATTATTAGGTATGTTCACTACATAGTTATAATTAACCATAACAGGACTAACTTATCACCAGGAAAAAGTAGGCCGTGGGTTGACATTTTAATAAAACGCTTGACCAGTCAATTTACGACTAGTTGAAAAAATCACAAATAAATTGACAAAGATCTTCGAGGTCTTAGCGCTAGTCGCTGTTCATACAAATGACCAGCCAAGCTGGGTACCAGACCGGTTGTCGATTTTCAAAACCTGGCAACCCTACTGTGGCCATTATCCATTTTCGTCCCCATGACAGTGCAGGTACGAGTATGTTACGTATGCAAAATAAAAAGGTTGTGGCCATTGAACCGTGCCCGTATTTATTTACGCTATGCAAATCTGTTGTACTCGTAGTATAGCAGATAAATACTCATACGAATAGTAGTTGTATTAGGTTCAATTTTGCAACAAAAATGTTACTCTGACTGATGTTTTGTTTAGTGTGCAATTATAATATACCAGTATTTTTCATATTATTTTGCAAATAATATACTTATGTGAAGTTTGTTAAAACTAATTTATTGTTGTACTAAAGCTTGGTTACGTGTTCCAGCTAATCTAAAAGTTATAAAATAGGATACCTGGACATTTATTATGAGAACATTTTTCATAATAATAAATTGCTAGCAGCATATAAATGATTTACTATCACATCTCAGCAATTTATCGCCATTAAAAACTGCTATTATTGAACCTCCACTTAAGCGAGGTCCGCGAAGGCAGATCGTCAAGCGACGTTTACAAATGTAAATTTTCGTTTCTCGGTCTATTTAAACTGTAATTGGTAAAGTCTTCAGTTTTTCCAAGTCATTGGTGATTTACTCGCGAAGTTCTCGGGACCTAATAATAATTAATGGCTCGACGAAAGTCCGATATCCTTTCATTAGAGTCCCGCCTCGGTCCGGCCGAGATTAAAACTTGTTCCCGGCGAAGGCTTTGCGGCGCTTTAAATAGACCCGTTCATGCTGCGCCTTTGAGACGTGAAATGTCGCCTTTGGTTTATGAAAATATTATAGCCACATTTGCAGGGAAAAACGACTGCAGTTTTTTAAGAGCGAGGCTGAATGGGCTGTAGTGCGCCCATCTTACACGCTCAATGGACTCACATTTTTAATCTTGAGACGTAAATGTTACGTACGACGTAGCCCTGTTTTACTCCTTGATTAAATAGTAGTTTAATATTGCATACTAAATGTCAATTTAGCACTGTGCAAGCGGTCAATAAAATATTAACAGTAACACCCAATTAAATTGAGTTTATTTATAAAAGAACTTTGTCCAGCAGTGGACGTCTTTCGGCTGAAACGAACGAACGATAAAAGAACTCTTGACTCGACGATCGGAACTCACTTTTTACGTTTTCCAACGAATTTATACAATATTTTCAGTTTTCACAGCTGTTTTTATGGATTCTACGTCGTTATTTATTTTATGTGTGAATAAATTCGTAAATCTCTCCATTTACCATTTCAGCTCTACATTAACTCGCAAATTGTAATTCCAGTATTACACGATAGCATACTGTTTCACTCTCTAGTAACGTTAAAAGGTTACGAAAAAATTAAAATTTCTTATTTCTTTATGTTGGCCCTTTCCAGAATGCGCACTTATTTTATTTTTTATCTCTCAATGTAGTCTTTTTTAGATCTGTCTAAACGTCATACTTTGTTCTCAGATGATGCGGCACGCGTGGAACAACTACAAGCTATACGCGTGGGGCAAGAACGAGCTGAAGCCGATATCGAAGCGTGCGCATCTGTCGAGCGTCTTCGGCGGCGGAGAACTCGGCGCCACCATCGTTGATGGGCTCGACACGCTGTATTTGATGGGGATGCACGACGAATTCAGAGAGGGACGCGACTGGGTCGCTGAACATCTGCACATCGGGGAGGTGGTAAGGAATCAATAGTAAACTAGGAGCCATGACTTTAGGAGATGACTTTGATGGTGAAGAACTCGGCGCTACCATCGTCGATGGGCTTGACACGCTGTACCTGCTGGGAATGCACGACGAATTCAAAGAGGGACGCGACTGGGTTGCTGAACATCTGTACATCGGGGAAGTGGTAAGGGTTCCATAGTAAACCATTGACTATAGGTGATGATTTCGGCGGTGGAGAACTCAGCGCTACCATTTTTGAAGGCCTCAACACCCTGTATAATACGATGAGTTTTACAACAGTTTTTCAAGACGTAGCTTGACAAAACCTGACCGCTTGATCGCCCGCGTTCAATTCTTTACTTGTTCTTCCATGCCTTATTCCTAAATCTAAGAACAGGAGCCAGAAAAAGGTCTCATCTCCAATACCTGCGATATCGATCACGCTTTTTTTATTCTGTGGCTTAACGTCACTCGTTCTCCATCGAGCTTTGTAACCAGCTAAATTTAGTTAGAGATTCTCTCGATCTCCGAGTAAGTTGGCGCCAAACTTCAAGCTTAGTTAGTTAACACCTGCAAGATTTAACCTCGCGTCACGTTCCAAGAAGAACCGCAGCGTCTGTCGTAGGTACTTAATTACTTGGAGCTAATACCTTCGGTAACCGTTTAAATTACTTTAAAGTGACAATTTTATGGTCCACATAAAAGTTTAATTGCATTATCTTGATCACCATTCTACGAGTAGATTGATTTACTTCTGTAGTTTATTACTTTACATAAACAAAGATAGAGCCTGTTATCTTGTATATTATTTTGACTGCGTGAAAGTTCATCACTTTTTGTAATAATTACTTACATTTTATTATCTCTGATGCAGGATTAGTATTTTTTATCCCTTTGACTGTCAATTGACCCGCTCTTTTAAGTCGCCGGGAACTCCTACGCTTCTAAGTGACCGAGACCTCCCTACCCTGGAAGTGGGTCACGTCTGTGTTATCACGCCGATGCCGCGATGTGCCAAGAGGCTTGCCCTCTAACCTGTTGTTAGCATCTCGGATGAAATTAGGCCGAACCACTTCTATGTGAGCAGTGCTACAAATATTTTTTCTGATAAAATGTTTTGACTGTTTCCTTATCACTGTTGCGGTTCGTTTCGTAACATGGTTATCGAGTATTTTCGCGTTAGCGACTACAAAAACAGTCTTGGTTATTTAAATTTTTATTCGGTAACAAAAACATTACCTACTTTGAACAAATCAGCTAACATGTCACGGATTAAATTTCCTCTCAACGTGACAACTCGGTGGCTTAATAACGGTAAGATTTGTTGCGAAATTATTGCTTTGTTTTGTTCAGTACGATATAAAGACCAAGATTGATTACAAAATCCTAAAATAAAATAGTATTTCATAACATTTAACGAGTGATGAATGCATGTTTTATCGACGAAACGTTATTTGATACCAATGTGTCAGCAATCAGCATTCACAAGTGCGATACTACAATAGATAGACATCAGGCTTTTATATGCTTATCAGCACGTTATTAATCCTCTTCAATGAAATGAAGTGGTTCCTATAATGAATTAAATTATTGTCTCTACGTCAATAATAACTGAGATAAGTTTATTTTAGCCCACCTATTCGCTTGGTGATGGCTAATTTTTCAAGTCGAAGACCCATTTTGGAGCCGACGTGTCAGGATGCCAATGCGCAACGTGACGAATTTTTTCAGTAGATGTAGGAATGAGAAGATCCTCGCGATATTCTTCATAAATATTGTTTTACTTGTTGTAAACATTCCTTCCACACAAAAGGAAGATGCCTCCCCAATCCGACTTGCCAGTGGAGACCAAATCTTCAATTTGCCTCTGGCTAAATAGAGGGTCGTCCTTCTGCATTAAAGACCAAATGACCTGATGATGATGATGATTATTATTAAATGATCAAACGAACTTACCAAGTGAAGTTCGATCTAAATTATCCTGTTTTCGCCAAAAAATGGCTACTGGGTAACATCGCGCATTACCTCGGAGCAAAAGAATGGCTACTGGGTAACATCTCGCATTACCTCGGAGCAAAAAAATGGCTACTGGTTAACATCGCGCGTTAACTTGGAGCTAAAAATGGGTCAAAGTTACGCGTCGTGTCACAACGCTTATAATAAAAATGTACGAGCACTTGCACAAAATAGTTGTTACAACCAACCTTTTGTTGGGTCTAATTCTCGTCACTGAGACCGCTCGGACACCGAGCCCACAGCGTGGTAGGGGTGGGGTTGCCCGCTCTTTTGTTTTTTAATACTACTACGCTGAATATTGTGTGCGGATTGGGTTGTCGTACAGGGGTACTACATGGTAAAATAAATCTCGGAGGCGAAAACAGGATAATTTCTTTTGTATGAGATAAACATAATTTTGTTACTAGCGGTATCACCCATAAACACTTCGCATAATTAGGGTTCCCGCTCCGGCACCATGACAATCAAAATAAAGTATCTGTAATAGTAACGTTTGGTACACTAGGCAGTTAGGCACCAATTCCGAGAAAACTTCGAACTCTATCTTTCGCTTTCACTCATTCTAGATTGCGAGCTTGAATGAGAGGGACGGATGGGGAATATTAAATATCTTTGCCGTTGTTGCTATATCATTGAAAGTGGGAGTGATTGCCCTAGTTATGAACAATCGGTGGTAATGCGGGCCTATGCGCCTGGTCAAGTGCCACCCACCGCCGCCGCACTGCGCCGGACGACAGTTTCCTGCGCCCGCGCCGTTACCACAACCTGATCATTTAATCCCGTAGTTCCTTTGGACTTTTTGCTCCAATGCATACTACGAAACGCCTCTAGCTGTAGGCGCTAAGTTGTTAGTGAATATGAAGTTGTTGTTAGATTAACGATTTTTTTATACCTATCATATAATGATTTCCTTATTGTCTGTTTATTTAGACCCTTATTTCCATAAGGGGAAATCTTTTTCTTTGCCCTAGCTATTTCCCATTATTTTGGGTCGGGTCTCCTCGTTCTAGGTCACCAGATGGGAAATATCAGGTATAAATGTTTATCAAATACGATATTTACGATCCACCCTCTATCTATTGTGAATGCTTTTCTTGATTAAAAAGAAACAATTTATCCAAGCCTCCCTCCACTATAGTGGAGGAGGCTCATAGTCCAGCAGTGGACTGTAAAGGGCTGTTGATGATGATGATCCAAGCCAAAAATAAATATGTCTTCTCTGAGGAATTCGGTTTCAAATCGTCTTTTCACTTTCGGCTACTCTGGGTCAAATACGTCCGTAGCGTGTCCCGTTATGTACTTACGTACGTGACGTTATTTTTATTGGTGTTGTAAAGTAATAAAATTTTAATTCTTTACTTTATGTTGTATGCAAGTTAGCGAATTAACAAAGAAAAATAAAATTGGGTTAGAGAAAAGTGCGTTACCCGACTCTTGTCTATGTAGTGATTCTCTACATTCTTTGTTATCTGAGAGACCGCTTCTCCGCTGTGTTCGTGTAGGTAACTCATTGTTCCTCTAAATACCATTTTCAGAACCGAGTATCATCTTAAGTTGCTGACCTATTGACGTAATTTTAGTCATCTATATTTTCAAAGATACGCTTTTTCCTATCCATACTCTATGTGTTTATTACAGAAAGTTTTTCAAACAGTTATGTTTAAGATATCCAGGACGTATTCGTCTCTTCGGGTGCGTCTCATCCTAGATATATTAAGCGGCGCCCATTAGGTAATTAAGTACAGCTAGAGCTAGTAATTGTGGCTAATGACAAATCGCGGCGCGCGCGCAGCCTCCGAGCAAACGACGCACTTTGGAATTAAGCGCTTCGACTGACTCATCTCCGCTTCCGAGTAACGTAAGATAAACATAGGCACTACTTATTACTATATCTGATAATAACCTAAGGTGGTACAACTATGTTGATTGATATAAATGTTAAATACATAGTTTATTTAGCTCCTGTTAATATTGTTCCCTATTTATGTATTATTTTGTACGTCTATCGACAGGCAAGAATAGATCTAGGTTTGGATGGGAGTCCATTTTATTTTATATTCCCAGAGAATCACCATATAAAAGGTTAAGGTGAGATAGAGTCGAGCTGCTGAAACTTGTCAAAGACAGTTTTGTTGCAGTTATATTGATTAAACATTTTTGAAAGAATGTGACCTTATTCTGAACAGCCAATTTTATTGATTTTCTGTTAAAATTATTGATTTTAGCTCGCCTTAACANAAAAAATGGCTACTGGGTAACATCTCGCATTACCTCGGAGCAAAAGAATGGCTACTGGGTAACATCTCGCATTACCTCGGAGCAAAAAATGGCTACTGGTTAACATCGCGCGTTAACTTGGAGCTAAAAATGGGTCAAAGTTACGCGTCGTGTCACAACGCTTATAATAAAAATGTACGAGCACTTGCACAAAATAGTTGTTACAACCAACCTTGTGTTGGGTCTAATTCTCGTCACTACACTGCACAACTTAAAATAATGAGACCGCTCGGACACCGAGCCCACAGCGTGGTAGGGGTGGGGTTGCCCGCTCTTTTGTTTTTTACTACTACTGCGCTGAATATTGTGTGCGGATTGGGTTGTCGTACAGGGGTACTACATGGTAAATTAAATCTCGGAGGCGAAAGCAGGATAATTAAAGATTGGCCTTATGTTAGATTCGTACACATACTCACTCACAAATTGGATATTAAATACAAATAGTCTGAAACCCACTTATTCACCAATACCATAATTTGACAAATCAAGCCATCAATCATAGGTACACAACACACTCAATACTTTAGAAGGCTCTCGGCTCAATGGCGTTCTAGCTCGCGGCCAACGTTCGAATGCCACAAGGAATATCTTTTTGTTATCCCGTACGACTCCCCGCGTTCCTCAGGTGTAATTTGATAGCCAAATCAGCGTTAATCCTTTCGTTGCTAACACTTCATTGGTTGGGTTTTTATTGGCGGTCAAACTGTAGATCCTGGTCGCACAGGAGTTGCAGTGGTGGGATCTTTTGAGGCTTGTTTCTAAAACACCTTTTTTTATTACCCAGGACTCCGACCTCTCAGTGTTCGAGACCACCATCCGATTCGTGGGTGGTCTGCTCTCGTGCTACGCGCTGACCGGCGATGCGGTGTTCAAGGACAAAGCGGCGGAAGTGGCGGACGCTCTGCTGCCGGCCTTCGAGACACCTACTGGCCTGCCATATGCGCTCATAAACCCGTCTACTAAGGTAAGATTGTCTTGAAGCTTCATCTTAGATTAAGCCATCTATACAGGGTGTAGCTTCATCTTAGATTAAGCCATCTATACAGGGTGTTAGGTAAATGGGTATATGAGCCGACACTAGCCCATGTTAACATGGTCATATAAATGGTATGGTGAAGTCAGAAATTTGATATCATCATTTTTTTTTTTATTTTCATACAAAATAAATTTTATTATATCCGATTTGTATGAAAATTAAAATAATTAAAATGAAGATATCAATTTTCTGACTTCACCATACTATTTATATGACCATGTTAACATGGGCTAGTGTCGGCTCATATACCCATTTACCTAACACCCTGTAGAGCGGTTTCGTATTAGGCCCGATCCGAATCCGTGAAAATACGGCCCGGAGAAGACTTGGAACTTGTTACTTATATGTATGGTAGTTTATACACTAGATCCGATATGATATAGTCACCCATTAACACCCAATATTTTGCAGTCAAGTGATTTTGACGATGCTCTTGGTCAGAAATAGTTTTACTATTACTGCAAATATGAGTTAGAATTGATTTTAACTAAGGGCATCGGTCAATACCACTTTTGTCTGATTTTTACAGTCAAGATTAGTTATGATCGAAATTAGTTTTTTTGACTGTAACATAATTATACTCGTAGGTACATTGACTTGACTTATCTTGAGTATCTTGATAGTGATAATAGATTTACTGATTAAACTCAATATTTATTTGAGCATGAGTGCACTAAACTCAGCGATTAGCTGATTTTGTTGTTTAGCAAAATAAAATTAAATATCGACGACTTGTATAAATAACATTTCTTGCTAGCTTGCAAGAAACTGTACTTCTTTTGTACATCTTTATTTATTGTTTTGTTTTGACAATGGTAGCTGCGTCAATTCCGCTGATCATCTCAAGTGGCTCTACTATTAATTAAAGTGGTGTTCGCGAACAAAAACAGTACGTAACAGTAACACACATTAAGCAAGCAAAAACTTTTAAGTGCTTATTAAACAATCTTAAGAGCCACTGAACACCTAATAGGGGCTGAGATATCATATTAGCAGGTAACAGGAGCACCTCTTACGCCGTCATAGTTGGATAATTTTTGTAATAAGGCAAAAACGGTAACGCAATATCCGCCACTTACGAGTATTTAATAATTAAAACTCTACTAACTTTTTATTAAATTAAAAAACGCTATTAAAACTTGTAAACCACGCTCAAAAGTAAGATTGTTTTATTAATACGGGCTTAAGGTACACAAAGAACCAACAAAACTTGTGTAAGAAGATTGTGAGGAGGGCGCGAAGTAACTTAGTTTCGGTCTTGTAATCACTCCGAAATCATATTACCGCCGGATATAAAGTTCGGGGGTTCGTGTTGGTCAATATAAAGGATATAGAAACGATTCCATAATAGCTGTTTTATTTTACTCGCAATAAAGGATACTTGGGGGAGGCCTTTGTTCAGCAGTGAACGTCATTCGGCTGAAACGAAGGAACGAAAGGATACTTTAATGGTTTTTTCCTAATTCAGTAACCATGCATTTAAACTTGAAACATTAAATTAATTTGATTGTTAAATTAAACCTATGTCAATTATACTTATTACAATAAAGCACAATATTCAAGTAAACTATTCGAATACAGTTTTTTTTATTATTAGTTTACGCATGCGGCTAAACAGAAATGAAAATGATATAATTAGTGGTATTGCACAAAATTCACTTGAAAAATTCATCATCTTCGTATATTACACGAATGAATTCAACAAAAAAATACTAATAACTCGGATTTATTGGAAAGTAAATTTTGAATTACATTAATTGATTCCGCATTCTTGACTAAGTATTATGTTTTATAAATATGTATTAGCATAACATACCGTTACTTTACCAATGTAAACTAACTGCAGTAAGACGTATTTCATGTAACATGGAAAGCGTTGGGGGAGGCCTATGTTCAGCAGTGGACGTCCTATGGCTGAGATGATGATGATGATGATGATTTCATTTAACGCAATACAATTTGGAGCAACTGAAACTAATTAGAAAAATATCCATACAACAACAAACATAAGCAAAGGATGACTCACGAAAAGTCATCACCGGCAATAGTTATCATAGGTACCGAATATCGCTTGAATAAACTAAAGGGCGATATTCGTACATTATGCAAGCGATATTCGCTTCCAATACTAATTAAATGTGCGATATTTTCAGGTCGGTCGTCAGTACCATTGGTCAGGCCCCAACAGCATCCTCTCCGAAGTGGGCACCCTTCACATGGAGTTCACGTACCTTAGTGACGTCACCGGCAAAGATGGTACGCCAATGATACATTTCATTATATTAGTTAGCGATCACTAGATATAGCCTGACCAGGAACATAAAAACCCTGGCATAGAGGCGCTTCAATTGCATTTGATAGTGCAACACTGAGTACAGTCGTACATGTGTTAAATTAATAGGCTAAATTTATGTATCAGGATTCAGGATTACGGGCTAATTTGATATTTTCATAAATTAACGAAAAATATTATTAAAGGTAACCTGGTTTAAATAAATTAAATGAAACCATCAATCGAGCTAGTAGGATTTATTTTATTATTCATCAATAATCAAATTCAGAACTTGAATATTCAACTGCAATGTCTGCTCATGAACGCTTCAAACTCGGTACTTCTTTCCCAATTCCATAAAATTCAAAACTTAGAAAGTGACAAAAAACTTTAAAATAGGTAGTTGAAACAGACTACAGCTAATTTTCATAGTGGACTGTACTATACGATAAACATGTCAGTCAATTTGACAACCTTTGTCGGAAACATTATTCAATGAAAATATTGTCCGAACCCTTAGTATTTCTCTTCGACAAATACATTAACACATCGTGAACCACTTTTCTTTCACGACTATAAAAATATTTTAGCAATTTAATTCACAAAATCAATTGCAAACATTTAAAATAAAGTTTGTTTACACTTTGACAACAATAGACTGACATGCAAGGTGACATGTCAATGAAGTTTTCAGTTACTGTTGCCATTAAAAGAAATTAGTACCATTAGTTTTCCGCAACATGGCGAGGGTTTTTATGTTCCTGGTCAGGCTATACATGAATTAACCTTTAGAAAATCTGTTTTCTAATAAATATAAATTATCACATCAAGTGTTACTGTTGTGATTGTATCAAAAAGGATACGCTGTATGTTCGCTGCCTGTTATTTCATATTTTAAGATTGATATTTTTCAATATGCATACGATATGATGAAAATTTTAATTAGTGACATATCACTGCGATTTCACACGATACATATCTCGTTGGGTGTCGAACTGTCGATGCTATCAAATTCCGTCCTTCATTATCGTAAGCTAGAAATAACGCAAAATTAAAAAAAATACAAAATGATACCGTGTAGGATACTTTACATAAATAAATGTCTCCGAACGTGCCAACACCGTCAAGGAAAAAACAACGCGTTGGCTCATTTTGCCAGCATAACAATCCTTATTGGTCAAATAAATCAATTTATTTTATAAAATATGACTTGCATAGGTATGTACCTATTAGGTTGAATGAGGAAATGCTGGAGGTTTGTTCCGTTTGCATTGTTCCACAAAAAGTCAGCAGCGGGAATTATTTTTATTTCGTATCTATGAAATTTGTATATATAAATTTTCATTTCATTATTAAAACCATTTTATTGGTTAAGTAAAGTAATAATAATAATTGTCTATTACAACTCCCTTTGAAAATATTATCGAAAAACGATAGATGTCCACTATTTTTTTTAAATAATAATATCTCTATATTTTCTGATTTATAAACATCTTCTTCATTAACTTCATGTTTATAAATAACTTCTTTCATTCTATATCTCGAATCTCGATCTTCTATTATAAAAATACATGAGCATATTCATTTTACACAATACCATGTGTGATGATGACGTATGACGATAAAATCATTACAGCTGGGTAAACAATTTTGTTTGTGTTGTTATGTAAATGGTGCCAGTCGATTTGGTAATTTTGCAAGCCGGTTATTTGACTTAATTGCACAAGTTCATTGAGAGCAAAAAAAATACTTAATTGTCAATTATTTATTTCTAAGACTTATTAGAACACTTTGGTTTCTATACCAAGGTTTTGTGGTTCTACTCTACAGGCATAAGGCTTAAATTTATGGAACCATGGGATACCTCACTTATACCTTAATTGGCAGAATTGGTCTTGGAATTCTTCATATGAATGTTTCACATTGCACACAAATATAACTTCTGTAGGCCTACAATTCGCGTCCCGATAAGCAGTTATCGATTTTACGCGATAAGCCCATACTTTTTGACATAAATCGTCGATATTATCACGGCGCGCATCCTAGCCCGGCTGAGACAGAAATCGTATTGAGATTTTAACATTATCATTTGTTTTCGTGTTTCAGTGTACAGGCAGAAGGTGGACCGAATCCGCGAGGTGCTGAACAACGCTGAGAAACCTAACGACCTCTACCCGAACTTTATCAACCCGCGCACTGGACAGTGGGGACAGAGTGAGTCCACATTACTTTATCATGCATAATTAACTATCCATCTGTCGAGATGAACCACTTTATCACCCTTAGTTAACTATCCATATGCTAAGACAGACAGAGTTTTCTTTCTAGCTAGCTAACTACTCACTACCTTCACCGGTTGGGTTTCTAGGACTTTATCAACCCGCGCACTGGACAGGGGGGACAGAGTGAGTCCACATTACTTTATCACGCTTATTTAACTACTCTTCAAGAAGGAACACATAGTACAGGGCCTCTAACTGCCTAGCTAGACTGACGATCTGGTGACGTTTATGGGCAATCAAATACCTGGATGCTAACTGGAAATTCGTGGGGAGCTTTTGTCCAGTATCAGACGAGAACTTCAAGTCTGCTATCCCCCAGACTACTCAACCTTCACTGGTTGCGTTTCATTGGCATCCAAAAGAGTCCTGAACCTGGATATACTCGTACAGGAGTTGTAGTGCAAAAGAGACGAGGAAAAAAGGACTAACTTTTGTCCATGATTGATGTAATGATGATGACCTTTATTTAACAAGCATGTCGAGCAATTCATGCTTTAAACATGGACCTATAAAAAAAGTCGAACGGATTCTCATCAACAAAATACTGTGACATTAGGATATACCAGCTCGCCTGTACGTACAGGCCGGCACGCACACATTCATACCCTGATACACCACTTCGAGTGCAAACTTCACACAGTTGACACATTTACGCGGCGAAAAAAAAACACAAATACGACATGTCTTGCGTGGTGAAATTGTGTAAAAACCGTTCTGATCGAACGAACAAAAATCAAGGAATCACATTTCACAGGTAAACTAATAATAATCTAATCACTTATTTCCCCGATTTTATAAACATTAAAATATTAAAATCAAACGTCAATCACCCGACAAAATAATACGTCAAAAGCCAGTGTTCTCAGTTATTTACGTGGGAAAATTACCCGAAAAGTGGGAAATCTATAATTTTAAGACTTTTTAGGTTTTTATTACGCATACTATTGAAATAAAATAATGTATCATAATAACTGTGTTTTAATGGGATAATATATATTTTCGTAGGCAGATTTGATCCTTCCCAAGGGCGTGGAACTACGAAATTCAAATTTTCTTATATTTTTGCAAGTCAGTGTCAGGTTGTATGTTAAAATCTATCAGAGATAATAATATTGATGATACATAAGAATATGATTACGTAGGTACACAAGATTGATAATTTGTAACTGCGTGAATCGTACCTGACACTGACTTGCAAACAAAGTAAGAAAATTTGAAAATTTCGCGTCTACCTCAACGTATTCATCTTTCATCCTTTTCAAATGGCACGATATAATTTTGAGCAAGCCGCGCATATTGTGGCGACACCACTTGGCCACGGGCGGCGTGTGCGTGGCGCTGAACATGGCCACTCTTCGCTGCTGGGGCTTATTCCACTATTCCCGTTTTGTTCACTATTCCCCGTTATATTAGAATTTTATTTTTAACATTGTAAGCTCCAATTGGCGTTAACGGGGAATAGTGAACATAAAGTTTACTAATCCCCGTTGACGGGGATTGTCAATGGGGAATAGTGGAATAAGCCGCTGCTGGTGGCCGCACGCGCTGGAAATCTGGTCCAGCTGCTGTCTGATGACTGCTAAAGTGTAAGAGTCTCACCTTAGTCCCACAGTGATATTGAGCAAGCCGCGCATATTGTGGCGACACCACTTGGCCACCGGCGGCGTGTGCGTGGCGCTGAACATGGCCACTCTTCGCTGCTGGGGCTTATTCCACTATTCCCCGTTGACAATCCCCGTCAACGGAGATTAGTGAACTTTTTGTTCACTATTCCCCGTTATATTAGGATTTTTTTTAACATAGTTATTAGTTAAATTACTTTAGGTATACTACCTTAATTAACATATTGTTACTAACCAAATAATTTCATAGTCCCATTTAAGTTTCTTGTATTTAGGCTAAGTTTTTATTCAATAAATTTATCTTATCTTATCTTATTGTAAGCTCCAATTGGCGTTAACGGGGAATAGTGAACATAAAGTTTACTAATCCCCGTTGACGGGTATTGTCAATGGGGAATAGTGGAATAAGCCGATGCTGGTGGCCGCACGTGCTGAAGATGTGGTCCAGCTGCTGTCTGATGACTGCTACAGTGTAAGAACCTCACCTCTGTCCCACAGTGATGTTGAGCAAGCCACGCATGTTATGACGACACCACTTGGCCACCGGCGGCGTGTGCGTGGCGCTGAACATGGCCACTCTTCGCTGCTGATGGCCACACGCGGTGAAAATCTGGTCCAGCTGCTGGCGGAAGTCGGAGGCCTGTTCTGATGAGCCTTCGAAGAGCTTGTCCGCCTCGTCTATTATTAGCCAGCGGACTCTGAAAGTCGGAACTGGTTAGGGGCCGTCCACGGACGGATTCTCATCAACAAAATACTGTGACATTAGGATATACCAGCTCGCCTGTACGTACAGGCCGGCACGCACACATTCATACCCTGATACACCACTTCGAGTGCAAACTTCACACAGTTGACACATTTACGCGGCGAAAAAAAAACACAAATACGACATGTCTTGCGTGGTGAAATTGTGTAAAAACCGTTCTGATCGAACGAACAAAAATCAAGGAATCACATTTCACAGGTAAACTAATAATCTAATCACTTATTTCCCCGATTTTATAAACATTAAAATATTAAAATCAAACGTCAATCACCCGACAAAATAATACGTCAAAAGCCAGTGTTCTCAGTTATTTACGTGGGAAAATTACCCGAAAAGTGGGAAATCTATAATTTTAAGACTTTTTAGGTTTTTATTACGCATACTATTGAAATAAAATAATGTATCATAATAACTGTGTTTTAATGGGATAATATATATTTTCGTAGGCAGATTTGATCCTTCCCAAGGGCGTGGAACTACGAAATTCAAATTTTCTTATATTTTTGCAAGTCAGTGTCAGGTTGTATGTTAAAATCTATCAGAGATAATAATATTGATGATACATAAGAATATGATTACGTAGGTACACAAGATTGATAATTTGTAACTGCGTGAATCGTACCTGACACTGACTTGCAAACAACGTAAGAAAATTTGAAAATTTCGCGTCTACCTCAAAGTATTCATCTTTCATCCTTTTCAAATGGCACGATATAATTTCGTCTACATTTCCAAGTAACATATCTGCCCATAGATATGTTTTTCTTAAGATAAATGGGTAAAATGTTTTGGCTAACATGGCATCCCTAAATTCACTCACACAATAGACAAACGCCAAAATTTTGCGTCACAGTTTTGTTGTAGCGCGAGTTCCGTCCGCCTTTTTTTATAGGTCCATGGCTTTAAATTAGTACTATATCTACTACATTTAAATTACACGACGATAGTCAGATCGAAGGCTCAATGACTGCAAATCACCTTGGGGTCAAGGGTCACGGGTTCGAACACCAGCCCAGTTAATTTTGAATGTAAATCTTTTCTAAATTGAAATAGATCGGAATAGTGTCCATTGAGTTTAGCTCGATATAGTAAAGGTCAAATGTTTCATTTGGTAAATTGTTGTTAAGAGTCTATATTAAGTCTGTCTGGTTACATATTAACTATCGTTATTTCTAAAATTAGAAACTCCAGCTCACATATTTATCTATCGAATGGTTTCCCATGACTTTCTTCCATTTCGAGAATATCCAAGTGCAAAAGTCGTTTCTATTAACGAACCAACAAGGTGCGTGCTCCAAGGCTCTTCCTAATTTAATCAATTATTACTCGGTTACTACACGCACATTACTTTGTCCCATAGGCTCTACATTATTTATGTGCTAAGCACGCAAGATACTGAAACTGTTTTGTTTAGATACTGAAGCGTAAGAATGAGCGTTTACGTTTTAGATACTTAAGCGTAAAATAAGAACAAACAAAAATAGCCCAACCATTTTTCTAACATTTTGTTACTCATTCACTTCTCGCCGCACCAATGTTTACACTTGATGACTTACATTTATGTTCATATACGCAACAGACATTGACACATTGCTACGCGTGTCTTGAATGAATTTCTTATAGTTCCAAAATACTGAACTGTCCTATGCCTGACATTGACAGTGGGGCGCCACCGTCAATACCGGATCGCTAGTTCCGATTTTTGCCATGTTGGAAACCATATAGTTGAACGATGGTAGCGCCCCCCTGTCATTGAGTTTGGTGGGACAGTTCAGCGTGGGTCACCTATATCACGGGATGTTTGTCCTCCCGTGGTTAAATTTGTGATTAGCCTAAGAGCGATTTGGCACTACGTGTACGATCCGAATCCGTCAATCTTGAAAACTTACTAGAGAAATCTGTTGACGGATATCGGAATAGTGCGTTATCATTATTATGTCAGCCACAGGACATCCACTGCTGAACATAGGCCTCCCGTAATGATTTCTATATCGACCATTTGGTAGCGTTGTCAGTAGCATTCATTGAATCTTCCTGCGTGCAGTTGTTTGGGCACGCAGGCCACTCTTGTAGCAGAGTTTTGGGCTGATACTGTGTGGGTTTGTTGTAGACATGACAAGAAGAAGATTTGGTAGCGGCCTGCATCCAGCGCTTCCTTTATGAGATAGTTCTACGACAACTCCGGACCGTATTCCCACGATTTCGAATCGGACGTGGCACGAATCCGCTCGCGATATTGCAAAACCAATCAAAATCAAATAAAATGACTGATGACTGTTTCCAGAGCACATATCGCTGGGCGCGCTCGGCGACTCGTTCTACGAGTACCTGCTGAAGGCCTGGCTGGTGTCCGACCGGGAAGACTCGCAGGCGCGCGTCATGTTCGACGCCGCCATGCAGGCCGCGCTCGACAAGATGCTACGCGTGTCGCCCTCCGGCCTGGCCTACCTCGCCGAGGTGAAGTACGGCCGCGTGTTCGAGGAGAAGATGGACCACCTCTCGTGCTTCGCAGGTCGGTATAGATAATGTTATCGAGGACGGTATTTGCATGCAGCACGTCACTATTGCCACATGTTTGAGATGATGAAACACAACTAAGTATCGTGATTTACATGTCAGTATCGATAGGGTTGAGGCGATATTTGGTCGCTGCACATCACTACTGCTGCGTGTTCGAATAGATGTGGACCATCGCCATCAGTATCGATAGGGTTGAGAGCCGTATTTGTCCACTGCACGTTGCTGCGTGTTAAAGTGGATAAATTTAAGAGCAGCTTCGTGACTATACAACGATGCTCATGTAAGGGTTAAGGAACGAACGCATGCATAAATTCGAATTTAATTTCAACAATAAATAAGGTCAACACAATAATTCCATGGCGGATCTCGCCCTTGAACATTTTAACCGTTAAAATGCAAATAATTGTCATCGGCCGTACAATAGGCACTGACCCACGAAGCTATTATGTTATTGAAATAATTTCCAACGCTCTATCGCAAATATGCCGCCATTAGCAAGACACACGTGGCCAATTAAGGACACGGAAACTGGCCGTCGGTGTATATTATAATGCATGGTACCCAAACAGGTTCATCACGCTTCGCTAGTCAACTACAATGAATTTCCCAAAACATAATGCTTCAATGATACATTACTGAATTATGGATTTTGAATAATGGTAATGTATGTAATTGTATTTTTTATCATCTAATTGTGTGTGTATGTATGCCGCTGGGCATCAATCTCGGCTTAATTTTTTTGCAATCATATAGCTTCATTCAAAATTTTAAATGTCTGTGAATTATTACCATTCTTCATTGTTACAACACATTTTACCGTGATGAATATCCTAATATGAATCCTACTAGTCTTTAGACACTTAATTGTTAAAGCGAACTATAGATTATGTCACAACAAGAGTAAAATAACAACAACGCATCTAATACAATCAGGGCCGGATCGTGAATTTGTGGGGCCCTGGGCTGAAACTTCTTATGACGTTATCACGTAAAAATATCGTCCGTAAACCGACTTTACAGACAACTATTTTTTTTTTTTTTTCAAATTATTGTCTACTTTTTAGCGGGATCTGGGGGCCCCTTGTAACCCCGGGGCCCTGGGCTGCAGCCCAATCAGCCCATAGGTAGATCCGGCCCTGAATACAATAATATGCTCATGTATAATGCAATGAATAACTAAAGCAACCATGTTCGCTCTAACACCGAATATTTATAATAATAACAGTAAATACACTTTATTGTACTAGAAAACAGAAACCTAAAAGAAATATTAAAAGAGACGGCACAACTTTATATAACGCTATGAGGCTATCTTTTAAATATTCCTTTGCCCTCGTCCATTCACATTATGTGGGGTCGGCTTTCCATATGATGTGGCACCGGTGGACTGTTTAACTTCGCAGTGGATTACCCAACAATATTATGCAAATGTTTGAAGCAATAAATAAGTTAAATAACTTCATTTTACAGGTGGTATGTTCGCGCTGGCATCGACGACTCTCGAGAACAGCCTATCGGAACGCTACATGGATGTCGCCAAGAAGCTGACGCACACCTGCCATGAAAGCTACGCGCGGGCGGACACCAAGCTTGGGCCTGAGGCCTTCAGGTATTACGCGATACAAAAGTGAAAAGTGCTTTTACATACAAAAAATTAAAAGTCAGCGGCGGTCACCATTTTATCAGTAAGAAAAGAGGCCTTGGGGTGGGTTACACCATCTTACTTTAACTTTAACAAACGTCAAGGGGGTATCCTTCCGTTTGGCCAAATTACTTTTCGCCAAATTTCACTTCGCAAACAACTTATCGCCAAAGTTTCATTTCCCAAATAAACTTTTAGCAACTGTACTTTTCGCAACTAATTCATTTGGTCAAAATATCATTTGGCCAAATTTTACTTGGCAAATGTTTAAATAGCAAATGTTTTATTTTGCCAAATATTATATCCCAAATAATTTGTTTGGTCAAATTGATACTTCACTTAATACTTACCCACCGTTTCCCACAAATAAAAGCATAAGGCAGATGATCATGGTTTTTGCATTGCAGAAAATAGTACGGTTGCAGAAAGTAGGTATTGCAGAAAATAGTAGGTTAGGTTAGGTTAGAACAGTGACCCTTAACGCGCGAAGGCGAGCGAAGCGTGCCGCGGCAGCGGCCGCCGAGCGCTAGAATCACTTCTATTGTTAATGAATCATTTGGAAATTTCGATAAAAAGAATGAAATATGAAAATTAATTTAGAACAAATTTTATATTAACTATCCACTAAACAAAATAATAACCACAAGCTAATTTGTATTCCATTTTATGCACCAATCAAATTATTTTGTAAATAGTTTATCGTGAAATATTTTTGCCAAATGAAACATTTGGCAAAACATACTTTGCCAAACGATAATTTGCTAAACAATAATATGCCAAAAACGATATTTGCGAATTAAAAGTTTGCAATAAGTTGTTTTGCTAAATGAGAATTTGCCAAATGAAAATTTGCGAAACGTTGTTTGCGATGTGATAATTTGGGAAACGTTTTTTGGCCAAACATTAGTAATCCCGTCAAGGGTCTGTCAAACTCCATATAGAAGGGACCGGTTGTTGTGGTCGCGATTGGGGTGGGGTCGTGCAATTCAACCTAAGTGTTTTACTTGGCGTGCCGTCGTCTGTACCTATACGTATAATGTTATTTAGAGGCTATGTAATAACAGTACTGTGAGAACTGCTGCCGACAAACTGTGTCACAGTTTGGCAGAAAATATTAATGTTTACTGTGTGTATTTATATGGAAAATAAATAAATAAAAAATAAATACCATTTCAGCCAATAGAAGACAAAGGACAAAGACCTCCTTCGAGAATTTCCACAGCGGCAGGGTCGACACTGCACACAAAAACCATAATATTATCCATACCATTTCAAATTCAAATTTTTAATTAGTAATGTAGACGCTTCACGGAGCACTTAACCCGTCCCAATACAGCTGTTCCTACTATCGCTTCGGAACAGCATATCGGTTAGCGCTGAGAAGTGGCGGAATCAACGTGAAACGTGTGCTGTGTGTAAGCTCATATATTTATTACCTACCCTATCATATTGTTTTGAATAATATTTTGTTAACATAGGTAATTATTGTTTTCAGATTCAGCGGCGCGGTCGAGGCGCGCGCGCAGAAAAGCAACGAGAAAGTTTATCTGCTTCGGCCCGAGACTTTCGAGAGCTACTTCATCATGTGGCGCCTCACGCGCGACCAGAAGTACCGCGACTGGGGCTGGGAGGCTGTGCAGGTACGAGCAAGCAATATAGTGACGATATTGCCTCAATATAGTGATGATATTGTCTCAATATAGTCGCGATATTGCCTCAATATAGTGGCGATATTGCCTTAATATAGTGGCGATATTGCTTCAATATAGTGGCGATATATTTTTTTTATCCACAACGAGGAAGCTCTTGGCCTGCATCTCACCTGATGGTAAGTGACGATCAGGCCGAAGGTGGAAGCGAGCTTCACCCGGAATCCTCAACCACGGAGGAACTGGCTATCTTACCTCTAACTGCCGGAACACAACAATGCTGCCTCATTATAGTGACGATATTGCGTCGTTGCGACTCCACAACGATATTGCGGATATTCACGCGATATTGTCGTCACAGTCCAGACACGGCAATATAGTGGGGACATTCCCTTCTGAATTCAATTCGAAACAGTGCTTGGGTTATTTTGGCAAAATATCTAAGTAAACAACAGGAGCAGAAATTGTTCGCCAATATTGTTCAGCAATATTGTGTTAGTGTAACAGCAATTTATGACGTTAATTTTAGATGTTTATTTTGATGACAGTCTAATTCCGAAACCGAAACCAAAAGAAATAAAAAGAATATCAAACAAAATCATGCTAAACCACGCCTATTACTTTTATAAGATACACGAGTCCTTAGCATGTTATGACGTTGACCCTTAAGAGTAGGCGCACACCGTTGATTTTTCGTCGGCCGATAGTTTAGTCGGGCAGTTGATCAGTATGGGCATGTATGGGAGTGCGCACACTACGCCGATTCGATTTGGCCGATTCTTCATACAATTTAAAATCGGGCACAACTATCGGCCAACTAAAAATCAACGGTGTGCGCCTACTCTTAAAGTCGATCATCTTTCCCAGTCCTTAGATTCGACGTCGTTCGTTAAAACCTATGAATAATTCCCAGGCGTTGGAGAAGCATTGCCGCGTGGAGGGCGGCTACACGGGGCTCGTGAACGTGTACCACCAGAGCCCGCAAGGAGACGACGTACAGCAAAGCTACTTCCTCGCCGAGACGCTCAAGGTTAGTTCATCATCATCATCATTTATCGGCCGTTTGGTGTAGTGGCAGGCCTGTTCATCTCCGCGAGTTTACATCGAAAACAAAACACGCACGATGGCCCACCTACAGGATACTATTCGACAAGGCCTCACATACGAGCGAACATTGACTCACGCACGCGTATTCTTGTGTATGATGGAAGAAAATAAAGAAAATGGTGTTCTAAATACTGTGCAGTATTTAACTGCCTAAATAATAATAAAAACACAGAATGTACTTTTTTAAGTTGCCTCAAGACACTGAGAGGTAAATAAGTAGTTAATATTATTCATGATAATTTATGCTAAATCATGTATTTCCTCCGCCATTTTCCGCAGTTTGGCACCTCACGTCACATCATTTTACCGAAGTCAGCCCTATAGCTTCGGCGCAGTGCCGATCACTGACGTTTGTCAACAAAATGTGCTTGACTCTTGAGACAGGCTAAATTACACCATATTGTTAATGACATTGAGCATACATTTTTTTAAATACCTTCGCGAAGTAAAACTTCTGTACGTAGTACTTATTATTATTCTGTGGTAGTGGTTCGAAACGAACTACTATTCCGGAGGTAGCGGGTTCGATTTCCGCACAGTACAAACATTTGTGTGCATGAACATATTTGTTTGTATTGAACTGGGTGTTTTCTATGTATAATAAGTATGTATTTACAAAAAAAAAGTATTTAAGTATGTTTATATCCGTTGTCTAGTACCCATAGTACAAGCTTTGCTTAGTTTGGGACTAGAAGCGCAGTGTAAAATGTCTAAGGATATTTATTAATTATTTATTATTAATCATCATCATCATTTCAGCCATAGGACGTCCACTGCTGAACATAGGCCTCCCCCAATGCTTTCCATGTTGATCGATTGGTAGCGGCCTGCGTCCAGGCTTCCCTGCTACCTTTACGATGTCGTCGGTCCACCTTGTAGGTGGACGTCTCACGCTGCGTTTTCCGGTACGCGGCCTCCATTCCAGAACAGTCAGTTCTGCGTACTATGTGCCCTGCCCATTGCCACTTCAGCTTGCTAATCCGTCGGGCTATGTCAGCGACTTTAGTTCGTTTACGGATCTCCTCATTTCGTTAGGCTCCTCAAGGTTAGTTGCTGATCGATTAAATTGAATAACCGTTTAATTTTCTCCGGGATAAACTTTACCTTCACTGGTTGGGTTTTTATTGGCGGTCAAGCTTTAAATCCTGGCTACACAGGAGTTGCAGCGATGGGAACGAAAGGTGGGAATAGTCCCGTGTAATCGATTGACTGTCGATGGAAGACTGTACCGCATCTCTAAACGGTCTTGTTGATAGTATTGCTTTTATAAATAATGCGCAGCGTGAGACGTACACCCACAAAGTGAATAGAAGGCATTATAAAGGTTACAGAAAGGCGCTGGATGCAGGCCGCTAGCAACTGGCCTAGTTTATCTGGAATCTGGCAATTCTGGAAATCATTGGAAGAGGCCTATGTTCAGCAATAGACGTCCTGTAGCTGGAATTATAATGATGAAATAATATCACCGATTTCAAACGCTTTTTAATACGCTAATTGGAACTGTCAATTGTTCAAGTTCTTTGGCAAATAGTTCTTTAGCTAAAATTAGTTAACACATACCAACAATATTATTTGAAGTCAAGCCTTTCAAAAACCGCTTGAAATACCTCCATTTCTTCTACAATCTAAACTCAATCTTCCTTTCCAGTACCTCTACCTACTATTCGCGGACGACAGCCTATTATCTCTAGACGAGTGGGTTCTCAACACAGAAGCGCATCCTCTCCCAGTCAAGAACAAGAATCCTTTGTACCGCGCCGCGCCGCCCGCGCCTCGTCCGAGGCCAGACGACAATACCGTGTGAGGCCTCTCAGGCCCCAAGCGAGTAGCCACCTGAGAGGTAATCTAGTCTGACGGACTTCTTAGCCTTGTATTCGGTAGGAGATACATGTTACATGTGTTGGTAACATGACGTAGCAAGACTTCCAGGCCTAAGATGCGCGCCGTGATAACTTTTATCGACGTCAAAATGTATGGGCAAAATCGATAAAGTGGCGTGATAACCGCTTATCGCGGCGCGCATCTTAGGCTTACTAGTAAATATAGCATTGTCTAATATTAAATTGCAAGAGTACTGCAGCATGAAATGTTGAATGATATGATGTCGTTTGCCCCTTAGTAAAACGTGACACGTGACATTTGTCGCCTAGTAAATACAAGGCTTAATAGGGCATTTGTGGACGAGTAAAATGTTTAATAATATTGTGGAAATATAGTCTTGGCTAACGGACATTTTTTGGGCAATACTCGAATGTTGCTGTACGCTATATTGGCGCAATATTGCTAAGCAATATAGCTCGAAGACTCGGCTCATTTATTTGAACTTTGATCAATAGATTCCTCCTTTGTTTCTTGATTGTGACCCATCTCTTGTTGGTATAAAGCAAACAAGCAATTTTTATATCAACAGAGATTAGTCTCCTAATTTATTTTTTTCCATAAAACTATTTACTTAAGTTGTATAAAAACATGAACTGGCAACTTTCTCATTAACGTTAAATAGTATTTGTTGCCTAAAAATAATGGACACAGCTCATGGATCATCAATGGCATATTAATTGTTATTCTAATTAGTTTAAACTAGATCTAATAAATTGCAAAAAAAATAAGAATTTAATTCACGTAAGTTTTAAACAGGTCTGCATGAAAACTTTGAGTGAAAATCGATAAAATAAAAGAAATTACTTCGACCATTAATAATAATGTAACTGCGATTTGATACGAATTTCATGATGATTGCTTTATTTATTTAGCTTCCTTTTAGAACTTATAAATTGTGCCACATAGTATTGCAGTCTCTCTTTTTCGCCTTGGTGGATAAAATGGAAATATACTAAACTTCATTAATTTCAATTCTTTATTTGCATAACTCTAATATATCGTATATAGCTTTGCTGAATAACAAAATGTTATTTTAATACCATAGTAAGGGGAAAAAGAGAGATCACACTTCAGATAATGGTACAACAAAATTGACACTTTTATTTATTATGTAGTACAAATCTTTGAAAAAGCGCGCAGAAGGTTTGTGATTGTGACAATTGTAAATATTATTTTGTATTCTTTTAGTGTGATTTTTTATTAAAAATCATAACTTTACTCTGTTTCTTTGTAACTCTATTGCACTTTTCTTTAATGATATTCCTTTTTCTAAGACGTGACGATTCGTAGACTTATTATATTCATCTGGTTATCAAATTGCTCATAATCTACTGCTATTCTTAGCAAAAACTTATTTTAAATATCTTATTTCTTCAATCACCCAAAAAAATTAACTAAAAATATGGCATAGTACATTTTCTCAAATCCTTAAACATTATTCTTATGACGTATAAAATTAATATCGTATGTATATTCTACCCTGTATACATTTGTAACCCAACTCAACTTTTTGAATCGTAGTTTAGGTAATTATAATAAGTAAAAGTTTAAACAAAATAATATGACGAGCCAACATAAAAACGTCATTGTATGACTCGATTTTAAAAGTAACTAAAATACACGCTAGGTTATTAAATAAAGCATAGAACTAACAGCGATTGTGGAAGCGGCTACCATTGCTCAAGTCAATTACAGAAAATGATGACGAAACGAATATTTTTAGGATCAATTCATATTATATCAATTCTCATATCAGACATTAAAACCCACATAGTCATGAAATTTTAAACAGTTGCAATAATTTTGTCTCTTTTTGTCTTATTGAAATCAACATTTGCCAGAAAGTGACAAAGTATTTATCCACTGTTTGAAATTTTATGAATAAGAGGGATAAAACTTATAAGCTTAACGCATCAGTAAGGCTTAAAGTCCTCTAGACAGCATAAAAAATAGGTTCCATTTGAAAATATTGAACCTAATTACTACTGCATGAAATGCGAATATAGACTGCCGTAAACAATTGAAAAAGAGCGGCGTATTTTACGAATATTAAATCTCCAATTCACATACGAAACCAAGTTGTATGATATCGTAAGCTGATTGAAAAATACGCCTCTATTCTTTTAATTTTCCTGCTTCATTTACCGAGTAATTCTGATGTCATTGAAATGGTATCTAAGTCCAATTGTATGTGGATGTGTATCGAAAACGGCTCAGCACTTGTGACCAATATAGTTGTTACGGGCATTATCACTGTACTTTAAGCACAAATCATATTTTCCGTTTGTGATTTAGAAATTTCACGTTATAAAATACACATTTAACTATTAATATATTAAAATGATACGATTTTATGATTCGTGGTGTTTCATGGTAGTTTTCATACAACATTTGTTTTTGCACTTATGTAGAGAAACAAATAAGTTGCAACATTTCTGTTAAAAGTCCAGTAAAAACCAAGAATCATAAAATGCTAATTTTATTAACTAAACACGATAGTCGTTTATTAGTCTAGTTTACTATTGAGGTATCTTAAACTTAACTGTACGATTTTTTATAAATAAAACAGAATATTTTTTTATTTATTGATTGATTTGATATATTTTATGTTTCGATCCGCGAACTGTGAGCGGAATTGATATTATTTTCAATCAGATCTCGTATTTGTAAACTCGAAGAGATTACAACGTTTTAAATTGTAACATAATAATTTGTTTATAGCAAACATATCCCTAAATGAATAACGTTTTGTAGTACTATTTGTAAAGGCGTAGTTGGTAGAAATCGCGAGAACGCGTGGTATAAACGTACGTCATAACTTCACAGGCCCATGTTATAGGGTTTTTTTCTTTCTTGATGTTTTATGTTGGAGTAAAAGTTGGCTGATCAGGAAAGTGAAAACCGAACTTACTCCCTTCTTTTATTCGCTATCACTTTTTGAAAACTTTCGAAAGGTATTGCATTTTTCACACGAACTTGTTACAAATCTAAATGATCTTTTTTCCTCAAATCGTTTACAAATTACCTGATCAGAAAAGTGAGAACTGGTTTGCTTTAAGTATGTATGTGATTCTAATACAAAGTTACATAATTATGTTTATTATTTAATTACTGCACCTGTTAATGAAGCATTTAAATAAATAATTTACCCTTATTGCTACTTTGTTTCGAATTAAACAATCGCTCCCGAATCAGATGCAATAATATTCTGTAACCAACACGAAGAGGTTAGACAAAGTAGGTAAATATTTGTAAATTTGTATATATTAGTCATAGACGGTAAAATATTTTAGTTTTAGGTACTTTGTGTGTAGGTATATTGTTATTTTTTAAACTAAGAGACGTGTATGTGCGTTGAATGTATGTATTTGTTTGTAATTTAACTAAATATTATCGTAAATACTGCCACGTTAACATTTTTTGTATAAGATTGCAATCTTTGGCGTTAATTACATTACTGATATTTTTGGGTATTATTGTATCTTGCCCGACTTAGCCCACGGTTGCAGCTTATGATTTGCGTGCCCAACCAATTAGATAATTCATTTAGCAAAATATATTTTAACACGCCGTATATTTTGTCACTCAGATCCAAAAATGTGAACAGTTGCACCGATATTATTACACTGCAAGTGTGTCCATATTTTTGCACCTGACGTGCTCGGCGTATCCTATCCTAAATCAGAGAATTTAATCTGACTCAATATAAAGTTATTTATTCGTGTATTGAAATTTACTATCCGAATTTGCATAATATAAACTGTGTTTGAACGTATTTATTCTATGTTACTCTGAATTACAAATGCAGTTACTCACTGTGATGGATAATCATAAAAAAAACTTAATTATCGGTATAAAATTATTTGATATTATAAGTTGAGTAATCGATCCCGTGTGTAACTGCCCCGCTGGCCGCAGCCTGTGAATCAGAGTTGTTACTGAATGTACTGCCTGTTATTTATGTAATTTATGTATGAAGTTGTAGTATTTTAAATGAATAATGTACATTTTTCGGTTATTAATTAAACATGTTTGCAAAATTTTGTCTTTTTATAACTCTCCTTTACACATACCTACTACCCAAAGTGATAAAACATTATTTCAATAAAGTAGCGTGACTGCGTGATGCTTACATTTTTTTTCATGAAGGAAGTACATAAAGAACCACTGAGAATAATCAAATAAGCAACAAAAGAAGAAAGAAAGAAGGTTTGATGTTTCATTTCTGTTGGTATTCCCTAGTAAAAAAGTTTGTTCGCTATACAACCACCATGTGTGTGTTTGCAAAACACTTATATTGACTGCATAGGGGACACGGGGTTGACTGATAGGTACTTTTTACATCAATCATTCTATACTAGACGGTGATGTTACGTATAAACATTTCGCAATATCATAAAAATTAACGAATTTTTGCTGCAGTAATTTACTGCCTAGCTCTTGCCGGCAACTTCCTTCGTGTAAATGTCGATCAAATAGCCTACGCTTACGCATAGATTTTCATCTAAATCCATCTACTCGTAGTAGTGTGAAGATAAAATACGCATCTCTAACTAAACTAACGAAAACGAATTGAATCCTGAGCGTAAACGTTTTCAGCTAAAAAACCAATCTAGTATAAATTCAAAACTCTTAATAGTTAATATTTCCTAATATTGATATCACTGCTAAATCTTAAAGGTCACACTAAATTATATCGCTGATTGTAATTAATGGTAACCCCTTCGCAATCAGTTTTCACCGAAACATTCCCCATAAACTAGCCGTTGTAGGGGTAGCCGGCCGCAGTGTCCCACCCTAATTGGACGTCCCAAATGTTAGCCCGGGACAATCGCGCGGCATTTTCGTTATGGGCTTCGTTACCTTTAGCGCCCCTTTTATAGGCCACCGCTTCGCCGGACGAGTCGTAACATCTGCTTTATTAGCACTTACGAGTTAGCGATTTGTTGATATAACCTTCATCTATTTGCAGATTGTTTGATTTAAATGGAGCAGTGTCTGAGTTTAGATAGGTATTTAGGTCACGGCATGTTAGAAAGCACTATTAGGTCCATAAATTCGACGATATTTAAAAGGACAAATATGAGAACCAAGAAGAACCTATTCTATTCTATGTGTTTCAAAAGTGGGCACACAATGTAGAGTTAATGAGCTATTGCAGATAATTAAGAGCATTTAATGCAGAGACTATGCACCACTCAGGCAGGTGTGGTGAAGGTCGAATGTTAACCTAATTAGATTCTTTATTAATAAATTACTTGCATACGTACTTCACTAATTAGTCTCATCTTTTAATATCAAGAGACTCTCACTTGCAAGAGAAGTAAAGGAGAAGATATTTAAAAACGTGAAAATAATGTTCATGAATTCTGCTGATTAAAGAAAAGCCCTCAGAGTAAATAATGCTGTACCTGATTACAGTTGCCAAATACATAAAGTACATTATTAATAAATTTCCTGCCCCATAACATGGTTAACTTACTATAAAACACCAAGGTAAAATTCCCATCCATCGATTGATTTTAGATACCGTTAGTTCCATTCAGCTAGTCAACAAATCTTTACACCTCGCTCATCAACTTGCAAAGTTCATTCCGTCTACACAAATATTGTTTCAATTAGTGGAGGGAAGACAATCTTCTTTATGGGTTCGGGACGCGCCCTGTCCCCATTCCGTGGTGCCACGGCAAAGGGTGGTGGTGGGGTTGGGTGCCGGAATCTCGCCGTGCCTTCAGGACTGAAAAGGTGCCTCGACTGACTGCCTGACGAACGCAAACCACGGCTCTCTGCAATCCCAATTTATAAACTTTAAATAATAAAAACATTTCCGATTTTATACAGTTTAAAGGTTATCAATTAGTTTACCTTTAGATAAAAGTCAGTTTCTGCGTTTTAAAAGTTTTTATTATTTGTTTAGTATCAATATCCGGAATCCATCATTGAGTTAGCACCTGTTTTTCTTACCTAAAGTCAGCTTTTTCGTTCCTCTCCGATAGCGGCGCCCTCTGTNTATTATTTGTTTAGTATCAATATCCGGAATCCATCATTGAGTTAGCACCTGTTTTTCTTACCTAAAGTCAGCTTTTTCGGTTCCTTTCCGATAGTGGCGCCCTCTGTAGTGTCGGTTTGGTACTACTTACTGGGCGCGCGAGCACCAGTGGTGCCAGATTAGGCGAATTGTCGCCATTTAGGCTACCTTCGGGGGTCAAATGGCGACCAAAAAATGCAAACGGCTACCGGTAGCCATTTAGGCTACCTAGAAAAAAAGATCGGGCTATTTAGGCTATTCCAGGATTACCTTGGAAAAAGAAATTTTTCATATAGCAAAAGTAACGAAACGTAATATGCACATCCACCTAACACTTAATCTGAGACATACACCGTTCTTTCCATTCGGTCACTCTTTGTAAGAGTGAGATAGAGCTATTGCGTATTAGTATAGATATAATAAGATACTAGCTTTTGCCCGCAGCTTCACCCTCGTGAAATTTAGTTTGTCACAGATCGTCATAAATTATAGCCTATATTATGTTATTCTGGGTTATAAAAATGATATTGTAAAGTTTCATCAAAATCCGTTCAGTAGTTTATGCGTGAAAGAGTAACAAACAATCATGTTAACCCATTATAGACTAGCGGTCCCATATGGTACCACTTTTTTGTGTGTTTTAATTTGGCTCAATACATTAACACGTNAATTCTATGATCGAAGTATTATTTAAAAATTGACATAAAGAGAAAGAAATATTATGCGGCGTTCGGGTGTTAAAATTCGAAAAGAAATCTACCGGATTTATCTTTTTTTTCGCTTCCCAAAGATGCTGAAAGGTATGTAGGCCATAAGGTAATCAATAATTCTTAGGATAGTATAGGAACCTAACCTACCATGACTACTGCTCAGAATTCGTTTGTTCGTTTCAGCCAAATGACGTCCACTGCTGGACAAAGGCCTCTCCCAAGGTTTTCCATAATGAATGCATACTTACCTAAATACGTACCTCATTACAAATAAGTACCTAGATTAATTATTTTTTCACTAGACAGAAACCCTAACAGCGTAAGAAGAGTTCAGAGGCACGCGATAGAAAGAGACAAAACTTGTAGGTGAATAAAATTGTAGGTACGTAGTGCTGTGCGAGCTGAATTCCACTGTATCGCGTCGTAGCAAGACTTGCGGAGTAATCCTTCTGTACCTGTACTATTACTTATTCTGTGGCTACGCCAAAGTAGGCAGAGTGCCGTAGCTGTCCGTAGCGTAAGTGACTACGCTCACGCGTCGTAGCTCGTAGCTCGTAGACGTCTACGAATAGTCCAGAATCTGTATTATTAACCGACTTCAAAAAAGGAGGAGGTTCTATGTATTTTTTTTCTCACAATATTTTTACAGATATTGCAGAAAGCCTGGGTCCGTGGCCGAGTCCCCCTGTGTTTGACGCACCCGTGGTCGACGCCCCCGGTCAGATAGAAGCAATTTTTAATCAAATGTACAGTCAGTCACAAAAATATTTATAAACGAATAAATATTTATACTGATCGTACAAATAAATGTTTAATATTATTTTACCATAGTGATACCTAAAAATATAATAGGTTTTATTTTAACCTATCATATTTTATCATAGGTTTTATTTACCTATAATAACATGTAAATCGTTTTACCTAATCAAAATAATTGTAACAATCAGTCTTTAAAATAACTCTACTCTCTCTTCATTTAACTAACTACAAATAAAAGTTTTAATTATAAAAGTTTTAAGTATTTTTAACAAAAAAATAAATACATCATTTTAAATAGCGTCAAACATGCATGGTTTTCGTTGACTGTACTTAGTGCAAAAGCCGAAAAAAATATGATATTAAATTTATTTAAATCGGGGGGCTTCAACCACAGGTGCGTCGAATACTGGGGGACTCGGCCACGGACCCGAAAGCCTGGTCGTACATATCCATACTGTCAACGTTGGTGGGGCTCGTCGGACCTGAAGCGTTCTCTACCACTTCTGGGTAATTGCTGCTACAGCTAACTCGTAAATTACTATTTAGCTATAGAAACAGATTGCTAAGTGATCTATAAAGAAATAACGAAGAAAAGATCGCTTCACTCCAAAAGTAGGTTTTTATTTAAATGCAATATTAAAATTATAATATGTTTATTTGATGTTTAAATATTACCAAACATTAAAATGGGGACTTATAAAACGATCGACTAAAAATAACTGACTGATGATGGCATACTGTTTTAATAACTTGAGCGGTATGAATTTGAGTAAGCGAAAAATTAACTTAATGATAGATTGCCCGGTGCTTTGTCCTGCTGGAAGCTCTTCTGGAAGGACTGGTTTTTTGTTCTAAACGTCCTGCCAGAAGATTGTCGCAAGTCCTGCCCGTCGCAAGTACGCAATTTGTACGTGTTTGCTTGCTGGTCCTTCCAGCAGTACGGTGACCTTCAAATTTGAACTCATCCTCACCAGTAGGCCTAAGATGCGCGCCGTGATAACTTTTATCGACGTCAAAATGTATGGGCAAAATCGATAAAATGGCGTGATAACCGCTTATCGCGGCGCGCATCTTAGGCCTACTGAAGTAGTAAACACTTGGTTAGTGTTTATTAAATAAAAAGTCATGTCGTAGAATCATTTCGTTTAATCAGTCTTTTACTTTTCTTAATATATTATAAACTTGTTTATCTTCTTTTAAATTAACTAATAGGAACTATATAATAAAGAACTTAAATTAATTACTTTGGTACGTCACTTTGTATCTGGGGGCACGGTAGTGCCCCCACCAAGTCGAGTTAGAAATTACACCTATCACTTACAAATACACTACAAATTAAAAACAAAAACAAGAAATAAATTATAAATGTTTGATTAGGCTGGAATACTTCACATTCATTATAATATTATCGCCAAAATATTGCCGACTCCAGGCCCGGCGCGCGTCAAAATGTGTCGCGCGAGCGCGAACGCGCTGCCCCCGCGTATACTCGTGCGCCATCGGGCTCCGACTAACGGTTAGTCGCGTTTTTCGATCT